TATATATATATATATATATATATATATATATATATATAAATGAAGAAAATGAAAACTTGTTACACAAATAAAAGTCAGATGACTAATTCATATGCATTTATCATTTGCAAAATTGAAATGGTTCTGATAAATTTTATACATCTACAGATAAAACTCATGAAGTCAACATTTCTACTGACCTCCAACACTCTTTAGTATCTACTGTAACCTTTTGTAGTAGTTAACAATCTGAGACTTAGGATATGATAACAACTCACTTATATAAATAATCTTCTTAAATCACAGCTATGATTATATCTAATGCACACACACACACACACTGAAAATTATATGTATACTTCAAATAAAAAAGTGCTCAGTAATGTACAATATAACAGAACCACAGTACACAGTGTATAATATTTGAGTGAATACCAAACAGAAGGCCTAGAGCCAGAGCAGAAAACCAACCAACACAAAAAATAGTAATAATCTATATAAAAATATTATTATTATAATTATGCATTCATAATGTTGTAATAACAAAATAAGTGGAAATTTCAACAACTACAAATTTGCAAAACAGCCATCTTTGCACTTTATTGACTACATGAAACTTTATTCTTAAATTCAAACAATTTTTAAGTTCCTATGCATAAATACTGTTACCACTTTTGACAATAATTCAGTTCTGTAACAAAAAAAAGCAATCAAAATTTTTTTTATCCCATCTATAAAAGTTTATTCTTCTGTAAGTTATCACTAGGACACACACATGCACACTCACATTTATACAAAAAAAGATCATAATGTTACACACTTCATGTACCACAAAAAATAATTATCATAAATTAACTCACCATGAGATGACAGCGTTGATTTTCTGATAACACACTATCCCACGTCTCCAAACTCATAACTTTTTTAAATATCTCTTCCTAAACATAACAAAAGCTTAAATTAAAAAATACACATTATTAACATTACCAGTATCTACAGCTTGCCTGGATGTTTTCATCAATGATTTACAGCTCATGCTGTAAACTAAATATTTAAAGATCAGACATACAAAAAAGTGACCAAATTCCTTGTTTTCTTAACAGCAATATACAAGAATGTACATCAGCCCACACAAATGTTACCTGTTTTTAAAATAAGTACGTATTCCTTTTGATATACCTTTGTTTCAGCTAGATAACCAAGCTATTAGGATAAACAATAATATGTGATTCTAAGGCCAAAATTTCAGTTAGAAAGTATTTATACCTTTAGTATTACAATCATATCTTCACAGGATTTTATACCATCTTAACATAGTGTATTGAACTTTCTACTACAATGTGAATGGTAAAACATGGGTGATAACAATTAGTAAAGCAAACAGCCATAAAAAAATTAGAGGATGAAAGACTGGATATAAAGTACATGTAGGTATATAAATTAACTGCTGCACAGAAGTCAAGGAAGGATAACATATATATATGAAGTCACCAATCCTGTTCAACATTACTACAGTATGACTAGGGTCACCAATCCTGTTCAACATTACTACAGTATGACTAGGGTCACCAATCCTGTTCAACGTTACTACAGTATGATTAGGGTCACCAATCCTGTTCAACATTACTACAGTATGACTAGGGTCACCAATCCTGTTCAACATTACTACAGTATGATTAGGGTCACCAATCCTGTTCAACGTTACTATAGTATGATTATGATCACAATCCTGTTCAACATTACTACAGTATGACTACGGTCACCAATCCTGTTCAACATTACTACAGTATGATTATGGTCACCAATCCTGTTCAACATTACTACAGTATGACTAGGGTCACCAAATCCTGTTCAACATTACTACAGTATGACTAGGGTCACCAATCCTATTCAACATTACTATAGTATGACTAGGATCACCAATCCTGTTCAACGTTACTACAGTATGATTAGGGTCACCAATCCTGTTCAACTTTACTACAGTATGACTAGGGTCACCAATCCTGTTCAACATTACTACAGTATGATTATGATCACCAATCCTGTTCAACATTACTACAGTATGACTAGGGTCACCAATCCTGTTCAATGTTACTACAGTATGATTAGGGTCACCAATCCTGTTCAACATTACTACAGTATGATTATGGTCACCAATCCTGTTCAACATTACTATAGTATGACTAGGGTTACCAATCCTGTTCAACATTACTACAGTATGATTAGGGTCACCAATCCTGTTCAACATTACTACAGTATGATTATGGTCACCAATCCTGTTCAACATTACTACAGTATGATTAGGGTCACCAATC